CTCGTTTTTGATGCCCAAAGTTGTTGTCACCTATAAAAATTTTTTGAAGATTTTCAAGTGCGAAAGACAATCTTATTAAACATTCTTATCTGCAACTTTCACTTTGATTGAGAGGCGGTGGTGATTCGTTAATGGTTACTGTAAGGATCTTATCTGAAAGTATTCCGATTCTTTGTGTATTCTAGCACGGTGATTACATTCAAACCAGTAATATCTTTCGTCACAAGTGCTGCGTTTCACTGCACTAAAACTAATTCAGTCATGCCTCTGACTGATAAGGGGTGTACGGAAAGGAACTGTGCATTGTTGAAAAAATTAGTTTCTAAATTTCTCTTAGGGTTTTTAACAGTCATATTAGCACATTTGGGACGTAATCGTTGTTGCTGATGATAGGCCATTTTCGCCGTTTTTTCTTCATTGTAGTTTCGAGCTTTTGTATAGGTACTCGGTACTTATTCATCTGCTGCACCAGCTCCTTCCTCTCTGGCAATAGGCGGTAGCTTCCCAAAAATGCGTTTGGTAAACTTCTATAGACATCTTAGACAAGGCTATCATGCCTTGTTTTTGTAAACTGTACTGCTGTTTGCTCATTTTTATTTGTTATGAAGAAGAACTGAATAAATATTGTCGCTTATTTATGGAAGCCGGAAAAAGGTGTAAAAGAAATAAATTGTAATTTGCAAAAACGATGAGAAACTGCAGAGGTGCAAAGCGTGAAAAAGAGAGTAGTAATGGTTAGTGGAAGTTAGAAAGCTTGAGGAGTAGAAGGAGCAAGAGAGTAAGGAAAATGGTTTGATGGGCAGTGAAGTAAAGTGGTATGTGGATTTTTATTATTGGTATATAGGTGAATGGTATTGAAGCTCGTATCTTCAAAACCTGCAAGAATCGGGAAATAAAGAGAAGAGGTTAAAAAAGTGGAGGAGGTCGCAGTTGCATCTAAGAGTTTTACTGCATTTTTTTCCGCCAGTCGAATCGAATATTGAGGTCTAATCATCTAATAATTTTACTTCTGAAAAATCTGCGCCGTCTTACATTCGAAGTCTTGACAACTGGATACTGTATCATAGTTTGATTTTACAGAAAAAATAGTGCTTTTTCAAATTAGTGGTACCAAACCAACTCTAAAAAAGTATATATCGAATTTGTGTTTGCTCTAGAACAGTTTCTGTGATGATTAGAGTTCTTATTTGAGTGGTAGTTTTTGGCTTTAGAAAGTTCTAATCTATAAAGATGTCATCAATTTGACAGTTCCGAACTGTTTTCTTCGTGAACAGTACAGTGTTCAACTGTAGAAAGGAAAGCTTGGGCTCCATTTTTAGGCCCAAATAGTTACTGTTTTGGAAATAGTTACTGTTTTGGCACCTGGTATATTTCATTGTACTTTTTTTAAAGAAAATCATAATCGCTTTTAAACTGCTTAATAAATTTAGTGGCGAAATTTGTTTCTTCCCTTTCTCCTTCTCTGCCTTCTTCTCCCTTCTCGTTCGCCACAGCTCAAGTGAAAATTTATATAAAAGAGACCTGTAGAAGGCTTTTATCATAGAGTCTGAATCATTGATATTGGCAACGCACTCCTGGCATTGACCAAAAGTTGGCCGAGAAGAATGATTACCGCTTTGTTCAACCGCTTATCTATTTTACACCATCGTTCTGCAGCTACCTTACAAATTAGAAATTTGGTTCCCAATGCTACACACATTCATTCCTTTCTCGAGTTTCACCGTTTGTTGTACCAGTTCTTGAAAAAAACTTTTTGCGGAGAACTAAGGCGAAATAATACAATAAAGGTTCGAAGCGGTTTCAGCGTGCCAAAGAAACATTTACTCGAGTTCCTGATGTTGCCACCGTTACTATTAAGAGTTGAAAAGTCTTAGATCAGAAAAAATATGTTAAATGGAAATTTTAAAGTGAATTGCTGCAAGTTGGTTAATAGATGGATTTAATTTGGAAAATGCTACGCAGGAAGACGTTGTATTTGCTGTAACAGATGTGGAGAAGAAGTGACATACAACTCAAAAATTTTTGTCTAGGACTACTCCCTTAGGTATCTTGGACGATTGTATGTTATACTGTAGTGATTTTCCGTCTCGAATAACCGAGCACAGTTTTATGAGACGAAAATGCCAAAATAGCCGAAAGATATGCGGCCAAAATTTCTGCATGGTTATTTAATGCAGCTTTGATTTTTCAGGTTGCTATAGATGCATATAATTAAGTTCTTATCTAGGATAATCTGGAGCCAAGAAGAAGCGGTTTTCTACGCAGCAGGAAAAGAAGGTGCTGACTTTCAAGACCATTAAAGGTACAAGAATCAACAAACGACTACCGCAGTAACTTTAATTTAAACGAATCTGCTTTGGTAGTTCACGCAGGTTTCAGAGAACGTCTCGAACAAACTGGCAGATCTAGGGGTAAAAGAATGCCAAGGTGTTAAACTATTTTACTACTTTTTTGTTTTCTCCTGATAGTTTTGAAAATTGAGATACTAAATAACTATGAGACGGAATGATACAATTTAATAAAGCAGCTGTAGT